TTGATGCTTCCTCTGCATTTAATGCCTTCTTGCTGATTATGCGATAAGTTCCTAACGAAAGGGCTCGGAAAACCTTTCTACATTATGTGCTTCCAGAGCCCTTCTTTTTCAGCTATGCTAGACCACCCTCCTCCGAGACTGCTCGTAGGTGGTTGGGTCTGACTTGTTTCCAACTATCTTGTTTCCTGCATGGTCTCTAAGTTCTTAGAGCCACCTTTGGAAATTACCAAAGGTTTTCCCTTTGGTTATGCTATAAACAAGGAGTGAACCTACAATTCTTCTCTAGCACGCACGCACGATCGCTAGGTACCTTTCTTGGTCCGCAGTGTGACAGTATCCCTTACATGAATCATGAACCTATACTATTTTCCCTTCTACCTGGCATCATCAGGTGTTTATGAATGCCAATTATATGGTGAATGATGAATTTGACTATATTCCTTTGAAAATGTTCAACTGTTGATCTTTTCACTATTATGCCATTTTCGCTTTGGTCCATAGCGTTCATTTTCCTCCCACTTCTAATGCACTTTTATGGTTTTTTGCAGCTCTTGGCCTTTCCAGTCACTCCCAGCCACTTTTAAATCTCACTGAACTTACAGCCAGCTCCTAGTATATCAAACAAATGAAATGTAAAACAATCAATATTTAAGATCATGCTTGCCAAATAATAATTTCAAAATATATACTACTCCGTATAAAAATATAATAGCATTACTTTTATATTATTCTTACATCATTAACTCTCTTTTTAAAGTGTTAAAATGCATAATCTCGAGAGAGAATCCATAATATAGTCTATTATTTACTGACCTGCAAATAACAATCAACAACCAATGATATCTAAGAGTTGAAAAAGTGAAAGTTCTATCATATGATAAAAACTAGGTAGTATTAAAGTAATAATAATTTAAAATTCTTACCCTTGATTATAAGACAACAAAATTAATCTCTTGTGAAAAAATTCATTTAAGTTTTCATTAGATATGAATTATATTCTTATCTTTCCTCTCTCTTTTTCTTTTATCGTTTATCTTCTTTATCTTTTTATATTCTTATGTTATTTTTATCTTCTAGTTTTTTATCCTATTTTATCTTTATCTTTTATCTTTCTTATATTCTTATGTTATTGTTATCTTATATTTATTTATCTTTATCTTATCCGTTTTATCTTACTTTCTTTGTTCTTCTTATATGTCTTTTCTTTTTGGCATCGATATCATGGATCAATTCATGTTAGCCGACCCTAAAATCATTTGGGATGAAGACTTGGATGTTGATGTATTAGATATGAATTAGTGTCAGTATAATCAATTTGGAATGAAGCATAAGCGCACATGAAGGACATAAGAATGCAATACCATCAACAGCGGTTTCTTTCAGTTTCAACTTTTAACGAAATTCTACAATAGTCCGAAATAACCAGTGGCGGAACTAGGAATTAATATAAGGAGGGGCACAATCAGAAAACCATCAAATTAATAATAACATTATCGTAACAAACCAGAGCGATAAAGCATAACAAATTCACTAAAAAACGGTAATGTAATGGTGTTAAATGCAAGTTACATGTTCTCATGTTTCGAAAATGATTTCAGTTAACATTCCCTAATAAAGTTATACTCCGTAATAATTAGTGAAAAACAAAAAAAAAATAGTTCAAACTATTATAGTTTAATACATATATAGTATTAAATTTATTCATAAAGTAAAGTCATAAGGTAATCAACTTTTAACTATTTTATAGCTTCATAAGTTAATTGAATTTTAACAATTTTGTTTTTAATACATTCATTTTTAATAATTACATATTTACTTTCATCTTCGTATAATACATTAAACATTAATACACATTAAATCAATAACTAATTTACACTACAACCTTCAAAAGTGTAAATTTGACTTTCGGGGCTTCAGCTACATCTAGCATTGCGCTGGTGCTGCTTCTCGATGGCCGAAGTGAGTTTCAGGGCTTTGTTTGCTAAGTTTGGGCTGCTGAGCTTGGCACGATTGGACTAGGGCAGCTGGACTGATTTAATTTTTTATTAACTGGGGAACGTCAAACGACGTCGTTCCCCTTATAATTAAAAAAATCACCCGCAACTTCATCGTCTTCCTAGCCTCAAAGACCAAAAGACGGCGTTCAATCAGCTCACCCTTCCCGGAAAACTCCATGTACCGGCCCCTCCTACTTCCCTACGCTCCTACCCCTTCCTATACTTGGGCCGCTGAAGCAGGGGCACCGCCCCCTGGCCCCCCTTGCAAATCCGCCTCCGTAAATAACATCAAATACTACCTCCGTCCCATTTAATGTGTCTCCTTTGGTTTTGACACAATTTTTAATAAAATGGTTGAAAAGGTAAAAGTTGTAGTTGATGTTTGAATATAGTAAAGTGAAATGTTGCATGTGAACCACATAGTTCTTTCAAAAAAGGAAAGATGACACTTATTTTGGGACAACCCAAAAAGAAAAGTAAGACATGTAAAATGAGACGGATGGAGTAATTAGTTTGAAATAACATTAAATATAATATGAGGTAAATACACATTATAATTTGTAATATAACTTAAAAAGGCTATATTACATAGGTTTTGATTGATTGATTTATTTATTCCATTGCTAATATTCGATGAACTTTTCTTTACAAAAGTTTATTAGTTTAACAAAACTAGATATTATTTAATTTTTTTTAAATAAAATAAACAAAATTTATGTAAACTTAGGTCCTAAATTGATAGTTTTCAATCACTCTTATCTTAGATTGATAACTTTCCCTCATTCGAGTCCTATACCGATACATTTCATCTTTGAGATCTCAGATTAAAAATTCGTCTATCTTTCAGGTCAAGCATGCTTCATAACCGTCACACGTATTCCAAAGTTTTTTTTAATTAAATTGTGCCATTTATTTTAAAACCGCTGCTTATATCCAGCATGCCGCAAATTGATATTTTTCATTTAGTGCAAACTAGGGGTGGGCATTTCGTTTTCGGTTCGGTTTTCTTCGGTTTCGGTTCGGTTTTGGTTTAATCGGTTTGATAGAAAATGTATCATACAAACTGATTAAGTTTCGGTTTGATACGGTTCGGTTCGGATTGAAGTTCGGTTTACCAAAGTCTTAATGTTTGGATTGAAATAAAAAAATTAACTCAAAATAATGAACCAAGAAGCGATAGTAATGAACCAAATATAATGTTAGATATAAATTTGCAAACAGTAACAAAACACATATGAACCAAAAATATATAAGCATTACACATTTGTAAGCAACAACAACAACGAGAATGAATCAAATTATATATAAAGGCGAAACAAAAACAAAACTGGTGCTTGTAAGTAATGAACCAAATATATAGTAGTAGTAGATAATAAATTATAGGTAAATACTATCTACTTAAACCACTATAATGGTTATAGTTGTGAATGTAAGTCTTGTAGTAAACTCTAGTGCTGGAAAGTGGACACTAAAATTAAAGAATTAAAGCTTCAAAAAGATTAACATCAATCAAATTAATGAGAGAAATCGTATATTTTGGTTTGGTTTAGTTTGGTGTAAGTTGGTTTTGATTTGTTGTTTTAAAAAAATAAGAAATTATTTCATTTTTAGATTAGTTCGGTTTTATTCGGTTTTATGATTTCGGTTCGATTTGGTTCGGTTTAATACGGGTTGGGAGGAATACTATCAAACTCAAACCAAATTACAAATGGTTCAATTTCTGTTTGATTTAATTCGGTTTGGTACGATTCGGTTCGGTCAAACCGAACCGTTATGCCCACCCCTAGTGCAAACTTGATCATGTCTCTTATACTTCGTATTTGTCCAGTATCTTGTATTTGTCCATTTCATTAAATATTGTGAATTTTATGAGTGTACCAAAAACTTTGTTACTTTTAAAGTAATAAATTTATGGTGATATTATTATTTTTATCTTGAGCAAAAATCTTTATCTACACAATTTAATTTTTCATCCCATTTCACGGTCAAACTCGCTCAAATCTGAATGTCATAAGTTATAATTTTGGTATACATATTTATATGCTCGCAGGATAATACATAAATCGTACCAATACTATACCCAAATGTTTCTAATTTTCAACAAAATTAAAATATCATATGCAATCATAATTCCATGTGTATAATAGAGTGATTACATAAATAAAAGTAACGGTGAAATGTAAGCGTTAGAATGTTTTTACTTGAACTTTTCACTTCCAAGCTAGATCAAATCAGACTTGAATAATTATAAAATATACATAAATCAAACATTTACCAGTTCGGACCAGTAAATTTGAATCTAAGTAAAAACATCCTTAAAGAACTCTTAGGCCTTGTTTGGTTCAAAGGGGGGAGGGAAGGGGAGAGTCAAGGAGGGAAGGGAAGGGGAAAGAAGGATTTTGATCAAAATTTGTGTTTGGTTGGAGAAAATAGGAGGAAATGTTTAATGAAAATATTTTCGCAATTTACATTTATTTGATAGCTTACTTAAAAAAATAGATACATGTCTAACTATTGTGAATATTACTCCTATTGTCATGAGTCATAATTTTATTTTATTTGATTTTATAATTTTATAATTTTTCATTTTTCAGTTTGGAATTTTTTATTTTTTATTTTTATTTTTTAATTTTTTTTAATTTTTAAAAATGTTTAATTTATATTTTTTAACTTTTTTAATTTTTAAAATTTTTCATTTTTTAATTTTTAAATTTTTTAATCTTTAAATTTTTAAATTTTTAATTTTTTAATTTTTTCAAAACTTTTTGTTTTTTACGTTTTTGTATTATAACGTTTTGTTCATTCACATTTCACATAGGAGATGGATAATTTGCGGTTAAACACGTTTCATCCGAAATACTCCGATTTGGAGATTTAAAAAAGGAGGAAGGGGAGGATTTTGAAAGTCTTTCACTTTCCAGAAGTGTCCCAATCCTAGTTAACCACATTAGTAGTTGACCACTCTAAATTATGGTATGAACACAGAAGTGAATAGCGACAGATTTGAAAACAATTATTTCTTGATTAGCTTATTAGCAGCGTCACCTTTTATTTCGATCTCTGGATTTTGTTATCTTTAAATTTTTCTCTCAATCAATTCAAATACTCACTTCTTACTCATCCAATTTATCTCCATCTCCAACAAATTAAAGATAATAATGGAAATTGGCAAGGAGCAAGTCGGTTCATCTTCATCATCTCTAACCCAAGATGATCTTTCTGCTCCTAAGGATTCATCCCAGCCCCCAGGGATTTTCTCCTTACTTTTCCCACCTCCTGTAAGTCAAATTATTTCTCATGTGAATTAACTTTACATTTATCATTCATTGTATGTATTTGCATTTAATTAGTTATATTGTGTTGGCTTTTGATGTTGCCTTGAGAACTTGATCGTGCTTATCAACCAACATTTTCACCAAACACGTAAATTTCGATTTCGCGCGCTAAAATATGTAATAATAAGAAAAAGTAAGATTTAAGTTACTTTTCTGGTTGTTTTGACTGAAGTTACAGTAGACGATAATTTTTTGCTATTTTTACATATAATTTTGTCTTTATTTTATAAATAAAATATATTTTAAGTTTAGTTTTTTTATAAATCAGCAGAATCAGCCAATACAACCACTTAAGCCAAAATTTCATAAATTTCAGAAAGATCCGCCGATTCGACCGATTTCAGTGTTACCAAAGAGGCTCTAAAACAATCCGGAGTAATAATTTCTCCAAAGTCTCATTCAAGAAATTTAGAGAATTAATACGCACCAGGGAAGGTGGATGTAGTCCAATGGATGATCATCCACCTCCAAGTCTCTCCTTTGTGGGAGGTGCTCCAAATGATTCTTCCTACCTTCATGAAGTTGCTCAGCGGCTAAGAAGGGAGAGGGTGATAATGAAGGTAGCGGGTTCGTGTGGTGGGAGGAGCAGCCTGAAAGGTGATGTAAGTCCTGCCGGATTCGTCCTTTGGAACCAGTACTGACGAGACTGTGATCAGATTCGGATTTAACTGTCTAGGGGCTTTGGAAGGTAATTAGTAGACTCCAGGATTATGGGAGCGTAAGCCCCGACAACTGGATTATAAAAAAAAAAGGAGAATTAATACGCACTAAAGATACGTCTTTAACAAATTCGTCAGAGATTGCTTATCCCTATCTAATAACGTTTTGGTTCGTATTAAGCTTTGTGATTTTATGATGTGTGAATTTGTATTTAGTTAGATAAGCAATTTTTTTTACCCTTAAATATTTTGTTGAATTTAGCGTGTCAAAACGTCAGTTTTAAAATAAACCATGTATTTACAAACTGCAAATGTTTTATTAGTGCAAAACTTTCAATTAAATGAGTAATATTAACACCCGATATCATTGTGTAGCTTCCGTGTTCTTGTTGGGAACACGATTGTATTGTGAATTGTGGATCGAACTTATTGTTGTTTGATAGAAATAGAAGTAAAATAAAACATTTTTTAAAGGAAGTCAAATAAAACATAGTAATCGATAAATACTTAGGTCTTAGGGTTTGTTTTGGAGTTTGGAGGGAAGGAAAGGAGAAGGCTTTGGATGTATATTGTTAGGGGAAAAGGAGAAGGCGAGGGGAAGGTGAGGAAACTCTTCTTTGTATTTGAGTGTAATAAAATTAAAAGGAGAGTTTTTGAATGAATTATAATTAAAATCACTTTGATATATTACAAATTCAAATCATTGAGCTGATATTCATTTCTAATTTAACTTAAATTACCATCTTGTTAATTATCCTCCAAAACTCTTCAAATTGGGGAACTTATAAATTAAGCATTTGGAGGGTTTTGAAGGGTTACAAAAACCCTCCAAAACCACCTTTCAAAGTTTTAAACTCCCAAACATGAAAAAGAGGGTCATCCCTCATTAGCCTTTCCCTCCCCTCCAAAACCCAACTCCCAAACACACCCTTAATGCTTACTTTTAGTCTTGTATTTGAACGACGAATCGACGGATAAAAGTGCGTGGCGTGGATGCAATTTAAGGAATACTCTTTAACATCTACTCCCTCAGTCCCAATTTGATGTTCCTGTTACGCTTTACGATACTTGACCGACGATAAAATAAACGAATCTCTCTGCACACTCAAATTATTTTTAGAAAAAAATTACATATTCAGAAACTACATTAAAAACCCTACAAAGTCGCAAAAACCGGAATCAAATTTGATAAAAAATTGATATATAAAGTAAGAGATTAAAAGTGATCTGTGTTGACCAAATGAATAGAAACTGGGAACATCAAATTGGGATGGAGGTAGTATATCTTGATTGAATTTATTGTGAAGCATATATTGATATATATAGAGGTCGTTTAGTAACCCTGTTTTTCGATTTATTACTCAATTTTTTCACCAAACACATAACTTTTGATTTCAGACGCTGAATTATGTGATAATAAGAAGAAGTAAGGTTGAAGTTACTTTTCTGGCTGTATTGGCTGAAGTTACTGTAGCGACCATTTTAGCTATTTTTACATATAATTTTTTTTATTAATAAAATATATTTAATTTTTTTTTGGGAGAACTATCAAATAAGCCCTCAAACTTGCATAAAAAGTGCAAATAAGCCCTTTTATAGGAAACTCTGTCCGGCTGTCGCCATTTGGGGCGGCTTCCGGTGGATTTTTTTGATGAAACTTTTTGAGCATCTTCTTCATTAAGTCTAGTTTACCCATTCCAAATTTAAGCTAAAAGGTCAACCGAGAAGGCAATCAAATGATTTTTCTGAATTATACTACGTTGTTTAACTGCGCAGTTATCTTCAAAAATTCATTTGAGTGCCTTCCCTATTGAATATTTAGCTGAAACTTGTTATACGTAAACAAGACTTAATGAATAAGATGCTCAAAAAATTTCATCAAAAAATTCCACCAGGAACCGCCCGAAATTGCGACTGCCGGACAGAGTCTCATATAAAAGGGCTTATTTGCACTTTTTAAGTAAGTTCGAGAGTTTATTTGATAGTTCTCCCTTTTTTTCTTAAATCAGCAGAATCAGTCAATTAATGCAGAATAAGCCCGTATTACCATATTAGCAAACAGGCTCATAATCTATATATGAATTATTGGATTTACAGGTGAGGAAACCCCCACCCCCCTCTTCACACCTCATGGAATGTCTTGACAAGCAGTTATATGAATTTCAAGCATGGAAGAAAGGACCACAAGGCATGTTGCTACATCGTTGTAGTTTGCACTTTATTTAATTTATTTATTTACCATTTTCCCTCAAATTCGATAACTTCGTTTGTTAATTGTCCTAGACCGGATAGAGTAAGACTACAATGAGATAAGTTTCACCCAAAACATAACACTTCACTAACTCCACAAAGATGGTAGACTCTTCTATTAACATAGTTGTTCGCCTTGTTCGTACTACTAAATCAATAATTAAGACTAGAAAAATATTCAAAAAAAATATTACGAAAAAAGTAAACATATGAACCAGTTTCACCATCCATCGATAAGGAAATAACACAAATTTTAGTTTGTCCAGTCTCTTAAAAGGAATTACTTGAATCCATAGGGGAAGAAATTAGGAGAACCATCTGTTTGACCAGCATGGAAATGAGATCCAATCAATCACTTCTTGTAGCATGGTGGTGGAGGGGGGGGGGGGGGGGGGGGGGGGAGGTTGCGTCATCGGAGCCGCCGATTCCCAAAATCAGTATCCTAGAAAAACTAGGTAGAATAAACCTCTTGTCAACCAGCAACAATACATTTTCACCTTTCAATCAGTTATACCGATGAGGAACACACAAACTCTAAACAATGCTATGAAAGAAACATAAAGGATGAATTGAAAACACCCTAAGTAATTCTTTTAATTTTTCATGTTTGAGAGAAAAGAATAACTCTTTTGGGACTAAGGCTTGATTGTTGTTGTGGCGGTTGAGAGAAAATAAGAGATTGAAAGAAGAGAAGAGGCAGCGGCTAGGGTTTGCTCCTCATCGCCGCCCTTCAATGTGTAATCAGTGTTGATAAGTTTTATATGTCGTGAATTATTATCATTATTTTGGGACAAGAATATGCGAGAAACAAGACTTCTTTTAGGAGAGATGAATGACGACAGAGTTTCTTTTATTATTTTTTAAAATACTACGTATTTTTTAATGGTGTAGTTTGTTAAACTGTTGCTATACAAAAGAGAAGCATAATATTGAAACATGAAAAATAATATTCAGTTTTTCGTCAACAGATGATATGACTAACGGTGCAGATTGCAACACAACATTGCATGATAGATCAGCACCGTCCCCATTGTCTTCATCAGTTTACTATGGCTCAAAAGAGGACATGTACATCAAGCCAAAAGGTGCACAATCAATGCCTAAGGTTAGCCTTTTACCGAAAAAATAAACTTTACTTTGCATTAATTGTTAAATGTGATGGATTAAATGACTACCATTTGAATCCTTAATGCCCTACGATTCAAGAAGAAGGAATATGATCCCAAAGGAAACAACTCACATAGTGTCTCAGAAGGGAACTGGTGGGACGGTATGCTTATTGCCTATGTTAAAACTTTGTAGAGCTTAATGCAACATGATTTGGATATATGTGCAAATGTACTTAATTACCTTATTTTGCAGGGTCACTTTATTATTGAGACTGTGAGACACTTTTCTCAGGTGGGATGAGGCTATAATATTCTAAGACATGAAAGCGTACTTTTGGATAAATAAAACCGCTTTAGTTTTCTGTAGTGTTTTTTATATTTTAGAGTTTTACAACTTTGGCATGTTGCACACAAGTTATGGTCATACATGTAGAGATTATAAGACATGATGTTTTGATAAATTTGTCTTTAGACTGTAATCTTGGGTTGATTTCAGTAGAACTTGAAAAAACGTTTTGATCATTATCGAGCTTTATTTAGGATTTTTATTAGATTGTTTCGAGCAGGGTCGTCTTTTAGGAGGTGCAATAGGTGTTTGACACCGGGGCCCACCCTTGTAGGGGGCCTCCATAAATTTAGTATGTAGTATTAGTTATAGGTTAATTTTTCTAGATGTTATGTATTATTCAAGATTCCAAAAGCTATATAACTTTTAGGTTGTCTAACTTGTATACTTTAAACATCATATAACATATATTTCATTGAACTATTTAGTCTATTTGTATTTCGTTGTTAAATTTTGTACATTTTCTTGTTTTAGGGGGTCTCAATTCGTCATTTGGATCCGGGCCTCCAAATTCTTTAGACGACCCTGCTTTCGAGTTGTATGGAATTCTTTTAAATGTTATCAAATTGGATGTTGGATGTTTGAGTATCAATATTTAGCTTGAATCTTTCACACTTTTGAACACCTACTAGTTTAAAGGCCTCCTCAATCCCAAATCACAATTCAACACTTTTGGTGGCAATATGAACACTTTCCTCTCTAGTAATATACTTATCCTCTTAAGATGGCAATGAGAGTTCTTGTCTAATGATTTTCTTTTCTCAAGGATAGGAACGGTTGCGGCTTATAGGAAGATAGAATAACAACATAGATGTCCATTAAGTAAAGGAAATAAATTCTAAGTTAAAGGCATCCCATTGGCTTAATTGGTTGGGAAAGACGTTCATTTTAACTTTATTTCTAAATAACCTTTTGTTTTCAAAGAGGTCAATTAACTCAGGGCACATATTTGTATAATTTAGTAATAACTTCAATAATTTTATGATATTCAAATTATTTTAGAACTTATCAACAAACTCAAATTTTGTACTCCTGTATGCACCTACTTTCTCTGTCTCCAAGTGATTTACATGTTTAATTCTTACTATGATCAGTATAATGATACTGCTCTTATAATCAAATGGTTGACACTTGATTGAGTGTTTCCATTAATAGCAATGCTTGGTAAATACTACCCCCGTTCCTATTATAACTTCCAAATAGGTTTGACACACAATTTAAGATAGTGGATATTGTGTGGTAGAGAGTTGTGCAGAGGAGAAAGAAATGTGTAAGAAATGTTGTGAACCACAAATTCTTTACCAAAAGGGAAAGTGGAAGTTTTAACTGGAACGGACGAAAAAGGAAAGTTGGAAGTTATAATAGGAACGGAGGGAGTAGCTAATAGGCGGTCGGCCCTAGCAGAAACCCTAGGCGGCCATCTCCGATCTCCACCAAGATCTGATCTCTACCCGTCTCTTCTCCGCAAGAGTCTTGAAAGATAATGAAATTATCTAAGAGTTTTGTATAAAATCAAAGATTTTTTTTATGCTTTGCTCTTTTTTAATTTCTACTTTCGAAGGTCTTGGTTCGGCTTCTTCGTTGACCGGGAGTTTTGTCCGCTTCAGGGGAACGTGGATATGTTACTCTCATAGCAATGTCTAGACGTTGTGTGTTTCTCATCGGTATATAATCGATCTGGTGAATTTTCGTTGTTCATGATTGACAAAGCTTTTTCAACCTTGTTGTTCTGATGATTCAAATACTCGACATGCACCCGAACCACCGCCTCACTCTGGGAAGAAGAAAACACTCAACTGAATCTCCTTTTCGACGGCTAGTCAAACCAATGATTCAGAAAATTTCTGCTCGGTTGAGTTTCCTTTGTTGGTTGCGGATCAAATCAATTCTCCCTTTTCGGTGGTTGGTGAATCCTAGATTCGTGATTTAACTTGTTTCCTTTATAGTTTGAACACTTGGTTTCGCAACTTCTATAGAAATTTAAATGTAGTTTTTGAATATGTGAATATATTAGTCTGTATTAGAATTTATAAGAGTTTTCTGAACATGTGATTCAAAATAAGAGTCAGATATAACCAAAGTTCTAAAATACAAAGGAGGAGCAAATGAATTTTCTTCTCAAAATAGGACATATTTACGAGGATTTATCTAAGATATTACTTAAATAAAATGTATTGATAAAAATAGGACTAAATTTACCTTGAATAAGCGTTAGAGTCAATTAAATGTAAAAAGTGAACATAAAAGTTGTCACTAAAATTATTACTATAATCAGTGCATTTATATCATATTTTTATCTATTACTTTTATTTTAAGTATAAATATGTCAACAATTCTGTATTTATGCCTATTAAAGAAGAACAAAATAAAAAGATTCATCCTAATCAAGAGTGGTCATATTTTGGTACTTCCATATAAGAAATTTACAAGGTTACACTCATCCTTAGTGGTTTTCTATTTACCCATTTCTAGAAAATATTTGACATTATTAGTCAAGATGTTTTTAATTAGGCTAGACTAAATCTAACTCAAATAACACTTGACTAGACTTTAGATGTTATAAAATCGCAATTTATACCCTGCAACCGGCGCACCACGAGGATGGTGCGCCCGGTTGCAAAACGACAGGGGCGTCGAATGAATTTGGAGGCCTCGGTTCAAAATGAAAAGTCGGGGCCCCACATTTATATAAACTAAATACTTATACTTAAATCAATTAAATATTCATCAAAAGAGAACGAACAAAGTAAAAGAACCAACGAAAAAATGATGAATCTATATTTTCCTTCTTTACTAGTTAACTGTATTTTACTGATTAGTATTAATTAATATATAATATTACTATATAATACTAATAAATTTTTAAAAATTTGGGGCCCCATAAATCCAGGGCCCTGTTCTGGATAACCTATTGAACCCCCTAAAAAACGGTCCTGCAAAACGACGCAGCTTCAGTGAGATTTCATTATTTTTTATTTCTTTTATTGTTAAAAATTGTAATAACTTTTTTATTTGATATCCGATTTTTATAAATTTTATATCAATTTTTTTTATTTTTCATGATCTATCAAATGAGACCAATATTGCTTATGTAATTTTAACAAATTATTTTGAAGTTACATTTGATAATATATCATGAAGTTACATATTCTTCTGCGTACATCTTATTGTACGCGAGTTACATCTTAATATACGCGAGTTACATCTTAATGTATGTGAGTTATACCACGAAATAAACCTCTGCTACATCTTTCATTTTTATCATTTGAAAAATAGTGTATGAATATGAAATACAATATACTTATTTTATGTGGATTAATAAAATTTTGTATTAAATTGGCAAAGAAAAAAATTAATTCAGTTATAATTGAATTAGTTCAAGATAAAGATAAGTAAAAAATCACAAATAATTAGATATAACTCACACATAATTACATGTAACTCGCGCATAAAAATATGTAACTCGTGTATAACAAGATGTAACTCACACATAACAAGATGTAACTCACACATAATTACATGTAACTCGCGCATAAAAGTATGTAACTCGTGTGTAACAAGATGTAACTCACACATAATAACTTGTAACTGGAGTATAAGATGATGTAACTTCGTATATTATCAAATTTAGCTCCAAGCTAGAAGCAAAATAAACAAACTCAATATCTTAAAAACATCTAAAAACTTATAAAAGTGATAAAAAAATATATTATTGAAAAAGTGTATGCATATAAAAATATATTACAAAAAATGTATGAATGTAAAAAATTAAAATTACATAGGCAATATTGGTCTCATTTGAAAGATCATGAAAAATAATAAAAAATGATATAAATTTTATAAAAATGGGATCAAAAATAAAAAAATTATTAAAAATTTTAAGAAAAGAAGAAATAAAAAATAACAAAGGGTGCATGCATGGTGCTCACCATGCACCGGTTCCACGGTATAAGTACTGTTATAAAATACACATAAAACAGACATTCATCAAACCATATAAGTTTAAACTAAATCAAACCAATCCAAAGTTAAAAAGATAGTTTTATTAAAAACGAGTTTAATGCACCAAACCTCATTGTAATATATAAATTCAGCGCATTAGCACATGTGATTTAGAAATGTGTCAAACCCTCATGTGTATAGTTTAGCAAAATTATTAGAACTTTTGTATGGTTTACCAAACCCCTTCTATGAATAAATTTATAAAAGAAAAATGATTAGCACTTTTGTATAGTGTTGAAATTTTGACAAATTTATTTGCATATTCAATTATAATATAAAAGAAAATGATTTTCAAGTTGTTAAATTTATTCATGGGTGTTTCTATGGTGCCTCTCTTATTTAGAGTGTACAGTACATTTGACTAAATAACCCATTTAAAACACTACACGTGTCAATTTTAAAATTTAAACCATATAATAAAGTACTCCGTAATTAAGTTAAATAATCCGTAATTAAGTTATTTGAAACACCCAAGCTCTGAGTTTTTAGGGTGCATTAGCGTCCGAAACTATCTTCTCCCAAAGAGAATCGACGATGGTCTGCCAAAAAATGGCTTTTCTCTTCAAGCGCACAAACGGTTCTCCAGACTCCAACAACGGTTTCAGCAAACAGCTGCTGGTCAACGGCGGCAAAAATCAACACCGGCAGCCATCGACGGTAATCTGCTTCTCTCAGCTGCATCGGTGGTTCAACACCCTTAATTTCTGGGTTTGCCGCCTTAACGGCCTCCCATAATATGAAGTACATAATACGAAGTTCACAAATTACTATGGAGAATATTAATTAATATATAGGGGTGATGTGGGACAATAAGGTAGTTTGATTGGCCTTCAAAATGTGTGTACCGATACCTTAGCAAATTGGTATAGGTACCGATGGAATATATGCCCCAGGAGCCCCCGACCCACATACTCTCACTACAACAATCAGGCCCAACAGACTCATTTGGGCCAAGCCCAACAAACATACGCATGATGTGCCTTCGGCCCCACGCGCCGAAGGATTTAAACTCAGGTAACTTGGTCCAGAAACATCACCAAAGAACACGGCTTAAAATAAGAGCCTTCGGCACATACTGCCTTCGGCACTGAGGACCCCCCGGTGTGCAGGGCTTTCGACACCAGTAGGTACGGCCGAAGGCACTATTCTCGACAAGATCTCCTCTCCCACATGCACTGAATCGCCGCGTCAAGTACAACATCACACCCAAATCACCGCATTGAATGCGGCCACGTGCTATGGTCGACGCCACCCTGATTGAGTTGACCCTCCACCGTTGGTTGCTTGACACGTGTACCCTCGCTGATCAGATCTTGCATTTATGGCTGCTATAAATAGCATCCAATTTTCCCATTGTAACAGACACAACAACTTTATATATCGAATACCTTCTCTCTCTCTTACTTATTGGTCTAACTTCTCTCTAAGTTATTTACGGTAATAACCCCTTGGATAGGCTACCCCGGGTATACTATCTATCAGGTACGGTAGAATATTCCTTTATTCATAGAATGTGTCTTGAACATGAATAAGAATGACCGGTTGAACCCATTAAAACCTATTTAAATCCTTTTTAAATCACATAAGACTAATGGGGTTAATTTCTATGTCCGGTTGAACCCATTAAAACCTACGGAGTATTAAAAACTGTCTCCATCTTAAGAACTTCAGGTTGTAAATTATATTGGGAAGAAGTAAGTATTTACGGAGTATATATGAAGTCCCCATTACTAATGCCTTGTTAGGAGAAAACATTGGAGACCATAGCCTTCTTTCTTTCTTTCTTTCTGTATTTTAATTCAATACTCAGTATATAAGGAGCGCCATTTGAAGACCCGCATTGTTATGGCCACTTTAGAGTTGCATGTGAAAGACGACGCTCCTCTGCGTCATCCCGTTTGGGGCGTGGATTCCATTTTCGGGTCCTGCGCCCAATCCGAAACTTCTTCCGATGGCTTTAGCACCTCCTGCGGGTCCGAATTGGGCTTAACCATAACCGAAACAGAGAGCGACGTTACAGGCGGCGGCGGAGAGCAACAAGAACAAGATTTCATTGCTGAGTTAACTCGGCAGATGGCTGATTACATGCTCCGAGATGATGATGACGGCGGCGAAGGCGAAAAACCGATTCTCTCCCAAGAAAAACCCTCCAATGGCAGCTCCATATGCTATTACGATAACAGAGGATTATTCGAATCGGGTACCGCAGTTCAAACAAGTTTCATGCTCAACGATTCGATTAGACCCATTGAAGTAAGTGAAAAAAAGACTAAAGATCCGATCTTTTTCATACAAAGACTCCATTAATGGCGTTTCTGCAGGTTTATAAATTACAGAACCAGCCTTCGGTCGCTGAACAGGGGATTCAGATTGCTTCGCGGGGAAGGCGATCCAAGGCAGCCGGGTCGACCCGCCGGAGAAAGCCGAGAACAGCGTCAAATCCCGACCCGAAGGACCGGCCGCAGCAGCCGTCATCGAAGAAGAGTCCGAGAAGAGGCGGAGGAAAGGCGGACCCGGTGAAAAACGGGCCGGCTATGCAGGCAATATTAATTGGCGGGTCGGGGCTCCGGAATAAATCTCATTGTGTTGGGACAGGTGTTTTCTTGCCCCGTGTAATCAACCAACACCCAACTGAAACTGTGAAAAAATCAGGTACGACATTGTTTTCTTGTTCATCATTCTACCTTTGAATTACGTACGAGCTACTAAGTATGCTGTTAATTATACTTCTGATTAGTCATTACTTTAAGTTTTGATTATATTATTATTATTTTTAAAAAATGTGAACATTGAAACGAAATGGCTTCTTCATCTCATCTTTATTTGGTTTTTTGAGGGAAAAATGGGAGTATAAAAACTTTTAAAGCGAAAATACGCATAAATAATGAATTTGTGACTATATTCTGTAATAATTTTTGTTATGTGTCTACCACACACAGATTGGTACTAGAGTAAACCTGTCTTAAAAAGGAAATTACATAAATGACCTTTAAATTTGTTAATTAATGAGGTAACCATATTCGTCATCACAGTTAATGACGTTGATTAAGTTAATTTATTTATTATTATAAGGTGAATAGACAATATTTTAAAATGTTCTAGACTGATATGATTTGAGATTAAAACCAGTGAGAGTAAGAGAGCTAGTCCACTTTTCACGTACAAGTTTGAACATTAATATCTTTCATTCTTTATTAGTAAAAAATTTAAAAAATTCTGATTTTGAAAATTTAGAATGAGAAGAATTTAACAATATTTTTCAAAAAATTAATTTATAATACATTGATAAATAAAAATATAGTCAAAGTAGAACATGTGAATAGTGTAAAAATTCCAATATTGCAATTAAAAAAGAACGAATATAGTACATTTATAGCATTAATATTTAAAGTATCTTGATTGCAATCCTGGACGGAGCCGCGGAGGTTGTGGTCATACTAATTTTTTACTCACCCTAAGTTTAAAAGACATTCAATTATTGTGTAAAACAATTATTCAAAAAAAAATCTTTATACCGATCCAGCTCGATCCAATGCTTTCATTGCTTTGTCTACGCCCCCGATTGATGGAGTCTTTAATTTTAAAAATTAAATACAAATAAGGATTATATCAACATACACTGTATATAATGTGATGGTACGTTGCATGAGGTCATGTAAAGAATGAGATGAATCGATTAAAATCCTATTAGGACAAAATAGAAAAAGTAATCTCTATCAAGCAACTCTTAAAACAAGTGCAAAAGAAGGTTAAGGAGACATTTGCGATTCTTCTTGATACATTGTCCACCTAATTAGAATTTCTCATTAGACTTTATGGAATCTTTCACTTTCAATAGTGTTGACTTAAAGTCAAAGAATTAGGATCTCCAACGTAAGTACTCGGTATTAATCAAATATTCCTAGGATGCTGTTGGTTTGGGTATTGCTAATTGACAATTAGAGAGTACTTTAATTAATTGGTTTGGTTGTCAACTTGTCAGTCGGTTTGGTCCAACGTAACTGCCATTGCCGTAAATGAAGACACCGTTACTATTCGCGGGATAGGCGTCTGGGCTTTGACTTGCCCCACCATCTTTCAAAATCCTATATGCTACGATTATATACTACCCTTCTTAAATAAATGCAACACTTTGACCTTTACACTATTCACGTGTTCTATTTTGATCATGATTTATTTATTAATGTAATAATATTATTTTTTGAAAAAAATATTGTTAAACTTGTCTCATTGTAAATTTTCATAATCTAATTTTTTTAATTTTTTACTAATACAAAATCATTTATATTAATGGTCAAAGTTGTGTCTCGTCAAGTGAAATGTTGACCGTTGCATTTATTTAAGAACGGAGGAAGTATACATTTTTCACAAAGAAAAATATTAGATGAGAATCTGCAGATTATTTGATGTTTATATAATTATGGTTGAATTGATATAGTGTAAAATTAAACATTTTATAGTCGTTATCGTGTATAAAATTAGGGTTTTATCCAATATAATAGCTTTACTTTTGTTATATATTTTTGTCATTATTTTTCTTTTTTGTGGTCATTTTTGTATGTTTCTTCTGATATACTTCGTATATGGTTTTTATTCAATGAAATACTTTTATTTAATGGCAATAATTCCACGTGTAAAGTTTTTGAAACACAAAAATGGTTTTCATTTTCTTCTCTTAATTCTACTTTGCTTATAATTTCAATTTCATCATTTTCTATTTCTTCTTGGGAGAATAACTTAAATAATACGTAGTATCAACTATCGTCCATAAATCAATAATAATACATATTTTGGAAATGGCTTTTAAAAATTCCAACTACTTAAATGTATAACAAAGTTATTTAAAATCATTTTCCTCTAGAAATTCACTAATTTAATTAAATCATCAAAAATTTGTATCAAATAATCAAATAAGTTACCCCATTTCAAAATAATATTCATTTGATTGTTTGATGTCTTATTTTTGGCATCTTAAATGACTAAATTTGTAGTAAGAAAGCGGCTTCATATTATTGTTGTTGTATATTCAAATAGTTAGAATTATTTAAAGTTATTTCCAAAGTAGAATATGTATATATTATTATTATTATTATTATTATTATTATTATCATCATCGGTTATGAGTGGGAGTTGATATTATTTAAATTTATTTCCCCTTTTTCATTTTTCAGCATTGTTCATTATCATTGTAATTATATTCTTCAATAAACTATGCTGACAATCTGTGGGTCATTACTCTGTGTTTAACATAGCACTCCTCAATCCACTACACAAATAAAATTAGTTGATAATTCATGTTTTAGAAGTTAATGAATTTAAATTTTATTTTTAGTGCAACAAATAATTGTCTTATTTAAAAATGTATTGTGATTTGTTTGATTTATGGAGTTTTCAATTCTTAAGTATCACTAACAGGCTATACAAGACCATGTTTGTTATCAATATATATATATATATATATATATATATATATATATATATATATATACATATATATATATATATATACATATATATATATATATATATATACATATATATATATATATATATATACATATATATATATATATATATATATATATGGAGTATCATAATTGAGTAATGATCGTTGCTAATTACAGCATACATACATAACCATATATAGGTCGGCATATTATTTGTTGTTATTTAATATTTTTTGACATTGTAAGGCCATTATTATTTGTTGTTAGTATAACAAGAAAGAGTGACTTTATTTATATTGTCCTGGAAGGAATTTAAGAATTTGGGACTAAGAGTATACTCCCTCCCTCTCGTAAAATTTGGCCAATTTGACATTTCTTAATCAATAATAATAAAGTTTGGATACCGATTTTAGTTATTATAGTTGTGTAAAACTTAAAACATTTGTACTTTGATGAAAGTACTTTTGACAAGAATGTTTCCATGCAATTTTCATATTCGAAATAATTTCGTATTAAAAAATATTCCCTCCGTCCCAATGTGATTTGCAAAATTTCCTATTTTGGTTGTCCCAAAATGATTTTCTACTTTCTATTTTTGGTATGTAAACAAGAATAAAGTAACGAATTTACTCTTACTTTTACTTTTTTTCTTCATTAACTTAAAGGCATCTACATTTAGGAAGATGGACAAAAGTGTAAAAAGCAAACATCATTTATTATTCTTCCTTAATCCTTGTGCCGGTCAAAGTTTGCAATTCAATTCGGGACGGAGGGAGTATCATTAGTCAAACTGGACCATCATTGATCAACAAATTAAAAGCCAATATGACCAAGTTTCATGAGACAAGAAGAGTATATACTTTTCGATTTTTGAAAAGGATCTCACTTATGGAATATTTATTTATTTTGCTATGTGTGTCCCGAGCGAAAATAATAAATATAGAGAAAATTCTTCTTTTACACGCCATACTTTGTTTGTGTCACAGATACAATTGATGGGTGTTTAATATAAATTGCCTTATTTGCCTATAACACTGTCAAAGTCAAATTGTTCGTGATACCAATAAGGTTTTTCCAAATTGTTTGTCCTAGATATTGGCTATGTTTGGCAGTCATAAGTCTCTGTCTTCTAACTTTTGTATTGTTCAAAAAGTCTCTAAAAGCTTCTAATTGTATGTTTGGCATGATAACTTTTAAGAGCTTTTCAAAAATTAAAAGATCTTTTTTAAGATGCTACAGGGAGTAGCATCTGGGAAAAGCCCGTGACTTTTAGTATTAATTAGTCCTAACAGCTTGTATACCAAACCAAACTAAATCAAATAGTCTGTTTTTTACCAAACAACTACCAACTTTTCCTTTTAAGATCTTTTCGGTCAGTAAAAGCTAATCGTTATTAAAAAGCTTATAAAAGTATCTTTTCGGCTAGTTTAGTCAAACATACCAAATATCTTTAAGGGGTGAATCTTATGTTCTGTTGGATGCCACCCACTCACCCGCACTTTCATATATTTTCTGTGTGTTTTATGTTTCCACGACATTAACAATAACATTAAATACATCCGTATGTGATGGTGACATGTAAGCTCTTCGGATGTACCTAAACAGCTAACCCTCCTAATGTGAAGTGTAATTATATATAGGATGTCAATGTGTTAACTATGGAGCATGTTTTCACGATAAATGACCAAGATTCACTCATCTATATGGGAGAATCCAGGCCACTAGTCATGCCAACGTGCTACGTATTGAATATGTTAACTTGCTTCATATATACTACCATCGTCCCGCTATGATTGTCCCGTTTTACCTTATCGGTCCGTCCACTAAGATTGTCCCATACCAAATTTAGCAAAGTTTGTGTGGCTCTAAATCATTCTTACTTTATTCTTATTTTATCAATTCAATATCAACCACATAAACTACTTTTTATTGATTTGCGTGTCACTCCCTCTTGTCCCATTGTTAGCGGAACGGAGGGAGTATAACGCAAATGTGCATGCCACAGTGCCACCGCAAATATGCAATGAGGCCAACTTGGATCTCATAGTGAATGTTTTTCTTGCTCACTAAACATGTCTCCTAATAATAAGTTTCTCAAATATTACCTCTCAACTTCCATTGAACAAAAGTATGATCAAAATTCTATTTGCCAAAAAAGTCACCGTACGTTCTGTATTCCCTTGTGCGCTGAATGAAACCTTCACTCCCTTAGATAGAGCAACTCACCAGGAGCAGAACACTATCGCCGACCATCTCTTCAAGCCATCTTCCGTCGCCGACCATCTCTCCAAGTCGTCGTCGCCCTACACGATCAGAGCCGTCTCATCCCTGCTTCATCGATCCATTTCTCCTCCCTGTTGTGTCGATCAACCTCTCCTTCATGCTCCGATCGATCTTCTCTCGTCCGTCCTTGTAACACCCAGCCCCATAGGACTCGAGCTAGTTACTCCAGACCTCTAGTACTGTCCTCACAAACCTCCACGAGCCTTTAACGCGCACTTTGTCCTCACTCGTGCGTGCCCTGAGAAACTTCCCACGGGTCATCCATCCCAAGACTACTCCCGTGCAAGTACGCTTAACTTTGGAGTTCTTGGTGATGAGCTCCCTTAAAAAGAGATGCATCATGTTGGTATAAGTAGTACTATTAATCCGCTTAAATTAATCTCAGGTATTACAATCACCCCCACTTAGGATCGCAACGTCCTCGTTGCGCCCTTAAAACAATCTCAATCAAACCCCAGAATCTTGCCCCGCTAAGTGCCCGCCCGATATCCAACGGATCAACACACTATCGCAGGGTTGCTCTGATGCCACATGTAACACCCCAACCCCATAGGACCCGAGCTAGTTACTCCAAACCTCTAGTACTGTCCTCACAAATCTCCACGAGCCTTTAACGCGCACTTTGTCCTCACTCGTGTGTGCTCTGAGAAACTTCCCAGGGGTCACCCATCCCAAGACTACTGCCGTGCAAGCACGCTTAACATTGGAGTTCTTGGTGATGAGCTCCCTTAAAAGGAGATGCATCTTGTTGGTATGAGTAGTACTATTAATCCGCTTAAATTAATCTCGGGTATTACAGTCCTTGTACGTAACAACCGTACAAAATCATCACTTCGTCTACATCGTCCAGGTGCAACATTGACGGGTCTCGATGTGTTCTTCACTGATTTTGGGTCTAGGCCTTTACTTCGTTGATTGGGGTTGGTTCCTTATGCGTTTGGGCAACGATTGTGAGGCTAGGGTTTGTCATCACTATGTGCGACAATGCGTTTAAAATTGGGATGTGGTAGCTAGGGTTGGGGACCTGTGGTCGGTGGGGGTGAGTTGGGCGGCGGCTGGAAGTGGGCTTGGGAGGACGGGTAGGGGCATGTGGGCTAGGGCATTGGGGGTGGGGGTGAGTGGCGCGGCGGTTGGAAGGAAGGACGGGGTGTGAGGGGCAGTGGTGGTGGCATGGGTCTGGGATAGGGCTGGGAAGGCTGCTAGACAGGGGGCTGGGTGGTGGCCGACGTTGGTGGTGGTCGGCGGTGGTGGCTAGTGGTGGTGGTTGCCGTTGCCGCCAGCAATGCAGTGGTGGTCGGCGGATGGTTTCGCTGGAAAAGTTGTCAGAATTTTTTTCGGCATTTATAGTGACATCTTTCATGGTGACAATAAGTCAATGACATAACAATGTGATAGTGACATATGGTACTAACATAAATATCTGACAGTAACATAACAATTTTGCAGTTACGTCAAAAGTGACTTTTTTGTCGTTTTAAAAGAAATGGTCACATTTTTAGAAATTGACTTTAATTTAGTTATATTCAAGAAAAAACCTAAACTCTTACCCTAATAATCTCACTAAAATTTAAGTTTTTGGTGAATTGGGGCCTAGCATGGCTCCTCTAATTACGCCCATGCTTTTTGCAATGAACTTTTGAACCGGAAATAGTGCATTTCTGCGAAGAAGTTTTTATGGAGTGTTTGCCTTTGCTTTTATCTTGAGGAGTGATTTAATTTAGAAATTAAAAGAAAAGACATTAATCGTAAAAGTTGCTAGTATTTGAAAAAAGTGACTTTGAAAGGTCTTTCCTCCTCTCAAATTGAATTGTAATTTTCATATTTTAAGTTGACCGATGATAAAAAGGAAAACTGTCAATTTAATCCTCGTACTATCACGAAAAAGTCAATTAGGTCCTCGTACTTTTAAAAAAATCAATCAAATACCTGAACTTTGTAAAAACGTTCAATTGAGTCCTTTTGCAGATTACTTAGCATGCCAGCAGGTCACTTGCTGACGTGGCACACATGTGGCAGCCCAATCAGTAGTGACTTTGCTGACGTGGCGCACATGTGGAAGCCTAGTCAGCTATTTGTTGATGACATGCACACGTGTGGACCAGTGCGGGTAAAACTAGTCTGTTCAGAACTAATTGTTTGAAGTAATGATCAGGATGTTCAACTGCATTGGTACCAGTGCGGGTATTACAAGCCTTACAACTTCATTTCAACCAAACGGAGGCTGCTGTGTCGCAATCTAATGCATGCATTCCATCTACTCCTCCTCTCATTCCCTACCGGAGCCCCATGTTTGGTACGCCTTTAATTCTCATTCCTCTCATTCTTTCTCTTAATTGCTCACACACCTAAATAGATACAAATAAACCTCCATAAAACTACTCCTAGTTCTTAAAAGGACTCGTAAATTGCTGATTCACAAACTAGTTCTAACTCAGATGGACAGCTAGATACAACCCTAGGAGGAGTAGGACGCTAGGACACACCATAATTAGCTTTAAATGGATATAAATAAACAAAAATGATGTTTGTACTCACTTTTATACCTACTCTTATATCCACTTTTATACCCACTCATGTTTGTGAAGGTTCTTTTTTGTCTATAAGTCTCGTTCACAGACAATATTTTGTTTGTGCAAAATTTGCACAGACAAAATAACACATATTTTGTCAGTGAACCGGATTCATAGACAAAAAAAACCTTCACAAACATGGATGGGTATAAGGTGGGTATAAGAGTGGGTACATCAAACATTATTGATAAGTAATGAATATAAAATTATTTCCTAATAAATTAGTTTGTTTTTTGTTTTTTCACAGATGGGAGAATGAAGGGAGAGCGACGTACAACAGGAGATACCCATCTCCTACCGACAAAGGAAATGAGCAGCCACGAGGCTCAGTTGCCTCAAGAATGGATCTATTGATGAAGTCATTGGAATCTTTCGAAGCAGTCATATAATAATGGAATCTTTAGCTAAGGTATCCTGGCTGGGTTAGTGGGTTTAGGAATTTATAAAAGTAAACGGAAAGAAAAGAAACAAATAATTTGTACTTGTGATTCAAAATAAGACGTGGCCTTGTCGACCGGATGTCTGATTGTTGCTAGCTAATAAGAGAGGTCACAATTTGATCGGGGGTTGTTTGTTCCTCACTTTGGATGGAGGGATGTCATATAGTCACACTCCTCTGCATTACATTTGATACTTCTTTTTTGTTCAATCTAAAATAAACCTATATCATCTTGAAAAAGTCTCTTTCTACACTATTACACGTCCCCTTTTTGTCGGTGTGCAGATAATTTTTTTTCGTTTTTATTAAGACAATTGTCTGTTACTTCGAAAAAGTGAATTGTTTGTGTGACATACAATAATTTTTTTCGAGGTCATAGAACATTCTATTTACAAAAATGAAAAATAGCCATTTAACACGACGTGTACATGAAGAATGATTGTATCATCTTTATAAGTTAGATTATTCTATTTATAGTGTTTCCATCTTCTGAATAAAGTAATAATAATAATAATAAAGTAATAATAATAATGATGATGATGATGATGATGATGATGATAATAATAATAATAAGAGTGGATAAAGAATGTACATTAGTTAGTTAGTTTTTTTCGGGGGGAGGGGGGGTTATATTCATATAAAGAAAATAAACGAAAGCAGAACGCTCCCCTCACTCCCTGATCAGATATAGATTAGTCCACCCCAACCAGAGCGAGACTAATTGATGAATATGTGAGAACTTCGAGACTATTAGCGGCTGAGTCAGCCTGATTGCCTCCCATCAGAAATCTATCTACTAAAATAAAACAAACCAAATATCAGAAATCAGTCTAAATTGAAAATAGCATAAGTAAATAATAAATTTCTACTGATGGGTCTCTCTCACTTCCATCATCTCCTGGCCTTCCTGCCCGATCTTCAGCTGCGTGATAGGCGAATTGCATCACTGCAGCTCGCCTCCTTCCCATTTTTTTTTTTGCCTTCAACTTCACCTCCATATCATTTTTCACTGGTTCTTCCTCCCCTTGATCAATCCTCCGTTTCTGCTTGATCTTATCTCCTACAATGTTTTGATCTTGTCCCCTCATCGGTCCGTTGTGGTCCTCCACGTCTGACGTAATGACTCTGCCTTCATCATCCTGATTCATTCATTTTCCAACTGGAACTAACCACTTATTTCCTCCTACCTATGCTCTTCGTTTTGTAGCCCTAAGCACTTTCCCAAAAGGAAGTCCTCCACTCATCCCACCACCTGCACGATAGCGAGGACAATACCTTTCGGCATGTCCAATAATCTCACATGCAAAACAAAAGATAGGCATTTTTTCATAGCAGAAACCGACACAAAAATTAACCCCTTCATCAGTTTGCAAGAATAGTTTCCTTTTCAAAGGCATGCTCAAATCAATACTATTATTCTCATAAACAAGTTCCATTTAGCAGAAAAGTTATATTCATCTACTTTAATAAAATTCCCCAGTTTGCAAGAATAATTTTCTTTTCAAAGGCATGCTCAAATCAATACTGACTATTATTCTTATAAACGGGTTCCATTTAGCAGAAAAATTGTATTCATCTACTTTAATAAAATTCCCCACAAAATTACTTATTATCTTTACCGCATTCTTCATAGAAAAATATCCTACCGCATCATGAACCTGTATCCAGAAATCAGCCCTATTTAACGGCGCCATCAAAGGTAGATCCCCTTTCCCTTGTTCACACAAGACAATCAGATTTTGATCAAAAGTCCATGGTCCTTCCTCCAACACCCTAAACATATCATTTTCGTTGTAAAATTGAAACATATATCTTCTAGTCCCTACTTCCGTAATAGTGACACCTCATACACGTTTCCAAACATTAGCCACCGTATCCCAGAAAAACCCACATTTGTAGTATCTCGAGCCGGCCGTGGCCTCCACCAGTAGAATTCGTCCTCTTCCTCCATCTCCATTCGACCATACGCGTTAGTCAATTTCTCAATCTCTCGATGCTCAATCTCGCGATTCATTCGACCATACGCCTCCATCGTCCCGTTCGAACCAACGTTTGAAGGACGCTGTTAAAACTCCATCCCTGTGTCTTCCTCCCTACCTTCTTCTCGTCGAAGGCACCGCTGACCCAGGTAAACGTCCTCACACAGTAGTCACACCTTTCTTCTCGCCGGAAGACTGTTTGGCTAGCCCTTGCTCGCTTCGCCGAACCAACGTGACCACCTGCAATCCTCGACTATTCCAATTGCCAGACAAAGAAGCCGCCGAACCACCTTTCGTAATCTAGGAAAGCCTAGATATGAACCGCTCCGCTTTTTGGACAAGAACAAATACTAGTTTGAAAGACTTGTTTCATCAAATTACGGCCGGAGTACTAGGATTGGACAACCATATCAATCATACGAAGAAATCAAGAAAAGTACGCATAGAATTCTGTTATGTACATTATATTAGTTAGTTATGGTGTCTTTTTTGGCACATTAGAAAATGAAACTGAAAGCAAAAATAAAAAAAAAATGCTCTTTCTAAGACTAAATCAATGCAAGTTTACAAAAATAGGACTTGATCATGTTTTTTCCATCCGTGTGATTTACTTAAGTCTATTTCAGGAAACTCTATTTCTTCCTTCCAATTTTACCCTTCAATCCCTTCAATTAGGGGTGACAATTTAACCTGACCCGATGGATACCCGCACCGAACCGAACCGGTCAAAATGGGGAAAACCACTTTGACCGGGTAACGGGTACGGGGCGGGGAATACCCGATTTATGTAAACGGGTAATGGGGCGGTTATGGGTTTATACCTACCCGCCCCGTTTAATTTGGATACGGTTACCCGCACCATTACCCGACCCGCACAATTAACTTACATATTTTAATAGTTTATGTATTTATTATATACGTAGTAATATATTAAGTATATATGAATGTACATTAGTATATGACACTTATTCCCTCTATTTTTTTGAAAAAATATTCAACTAATCGGTTATCCTTTGCAATTCTGAGGAGTTGGTGCTCAAAATTCACTATTTTAGATTTTCAATTTTCAATTTCATTCATCATCCTTCCTTCGTTAACTTCTACAAGATTTATTTTCTTCACATATTGATTATTTGAGTTTCATGATTTTCTCTACACAATTTTCACATTGTGACTCCCTTAACATTTCACCTAATAACTTTCATAAAGCTCACATATGAGTTTAAAGTCCAAATATTGGGAACCATTACTCTAGATTGCTTTAATTTATGTAATTGCTAATAATTTTGTAGAGGTGTATTGGATGATTAGATTAATTTTGATTGGTTGCTCTAATTTATATCAAGTTTTAAATTTAAATTATGAGGTTTCTAAAACAGTAACTACAAGAATACCTAAATCATAGTATTAGAAGTACATTTTTTAGAAATAATTTCAAATCTATAATCAAAATAAAAGTTGTGAACAAAAATGTGACTCTAGTAACTTTAGTGTTTATAATTTTATTCAAGTGACGTGTTATATCGTAGTGACTATAAAACTTACTCATGATAACTTATAGTCACATTTATGTCCATATATTTTTTATTAGTAATATTTCAGGAAAAAACTTCTCATTTTCATTATGTTACTTGTATACATTACTGTTCTTAAATTTAGATATTGAATGATGGTGTGATTCATATTTAGATTTTACTATCGAGACAAGACTTAATGTTTTGATGTTGATGTGGTAAGAGATTCATAATTTTGAATCTAGAGTACATATATAATTTATGAATATTAGGTTCAAAAGATTGTAATTTTTTGTGATGTTTTATAAAACTTTATCTGTGGTGCTATTTAATTTTGATTTTTTTAATTTAGGTGATCAATTATAAGTAGTTAATCATCATTTTAGGATTTATACTAATTTTGAAGAAAAGAATTATCTTTTAATAAAACAAGTGGTGCTATTTAATTTTAATTTTTTTTAATTTAGGTGGTCAATTAAAAGTAGTTAATCATCATTTTAGGATTTATACTAATTTTGAAGAAAATAATTACCTTTTAATAAAACGGTTACCCGCGGGGAAACCGTTACCCGCAGGGAAAACCGTTACGCGCGGGTAAAAAATACCTGATGGGTAACGGGGCGATTTCGGGGAAAAATATTATCAAACGGGGCGGGTACGGGTAATGGTATACCCGACCCCGAACCGCCCTGTTGCCATCCCTACCTTCATTCCACTTTCCTGCTGCGGACGGACCAGCCTCATTCAGAGAATTCAGCTCCTTTTCATCTCTCGCCGGTGAACCAAGCAATTGAAGCCGCTGCCTCCAACCGCGCACCAGATGCCGCCACTGCCGCACAACCTTTCGCCGATGCCTCCTAGTGCGGACCAGACGTTGTAGCAGTCGCACATCTTTTCGCCGCCGAAGTCGCGCATTCTTCCGCCGCCGAAGTCGCGCATTCTTCTGCCGACGAAGTCGCCATTCTTCCGCCGCCCTACTACAACATATGTCACCTCTTCTCCGCCACTGCATCTCAACTTCTTCTCTTTTCTGGTTTCCTGTAAACCATTGCCTCTTGGTATTGCTTAACACAAATCTGGAAAGCGAAATTAGGGGTATGTTTTTTGTTGATTGGGTTTAGGCGATTGAGTTTGCAGAATTTATTGTTTATTTATTGTATACTTATTTTCTATTTATTGTCTATTTAATGTCTGTTATTTTCTAAAAGTAAGGGTATTGTGATCAATGCAGGTGTAGTTGAGTTTTATGCTAATCTTCGATCTTGGTTTTGGAAAATTAGTACGTTTTGTTCCTACTTGTTGAAATCTCCTTAAAAAAAGTACATACACATACAAAGTTAAGGAATTAGCAGTTAGGCGTAATACAGTGAAGGACCTGGGGCACTCAAGAAAGTGTCTTCGCTTCATCGCTCGTAGTATTAGTACTTAGGTGATGCATAGATGCCTTGCTACTGATGTGATTGAATAGTATTACACGTGAATATTGTATAAACTGGTGTGGGGGGGATATTGTTGTATTGAAGAAACTTACGCATTATTATTATTTAAAACCAAGCTTGAAACAACACCATTTTGATCTCCTAGTATTGTCTAAATTGAACTATTTTATCTCGATTAGCGGCAATGAAATAAAGCATAGCACCACCCGGCACCCGTCATGGCATTATAATGAAATAAAAGGATGACACCCATCCCCGAGGGTCCCCCAACACCGACCAGACGGTAAGTTGGGAGGATGTAAGATGTTTTTTACTGGAACTGTAATTTACTGGTCTGGTCTGGTCTGAACTTGTCTGGTCTGGTTTCTTTGTATTATTATAACTATTCAAGTCTAGTTTGATCTGATCTGGTCTGGAAGGAATTACAGTCCAAGTAAAAACATCCGTAAATTGGACTATAATCACAATCTTATAGATAGAGAGTGATGCTCTATCCCTTGTACTTGCAGAGGCCCTATGCATTTTTTTATATAATGAAATAATGAATTACTTTGCATGTTCTTTTGTCCGAAAATGAAGTTCTCATATACGATAGTATAGTATTTATATGATTCTTAAATGAGTATAAAGTTAATCTTTACAAGATAATAATTATGAGGATAAAGTTAATCTCCTGGTAGAACAGCTTCCACACATATTATGTCATGGATTTGCGGATCCTAGCAAGTTCCATGCAGAAAACCCAGCTAAAACTTGTGTTAATTTGTGATAAGTTCGTATCCAACATGTTATATTAGAGTGTGGGGGCATTCTGCTACCGTAATGGGGTGTTCTTCTACCGTAACTTTCGAGTTGATCATCTATTCCCTATCTAACCATCATGTGGGTGCATTCTTCTACCGCCTATTGAAGGCTATTGCCGCCTAACAGTGTTCGGGTTATGGATATTTCTGTTTAAGTCTCAATATTGTCTCAGTTGAATATTTTGTGTGAATAAGGACGTTAGAACGATGCCCCCCTCGGCCCCTCCTATTTCATCCTGCGCCATGATCCCATTGGCACCCCATGAATCCCATTTTAGTCATCTTCGAACAAATGATTTCATTAGTTGCAAATTTGTTATTAAGCATGTACATTGGTTCTGTCATGACAACTTGGCAAACGTATTAAATTGTTTTTTTTACTCTTGACTAATTCTAATGTCATGCCTTTTGATAGTACACAGTGATATTTCAGTATCTCTAGTTTTGATTGTCTGATCACCAATGAGATTTCATTTCTTTTACAAATTTTTGAGGGCCTGCCTTCTCCAACGGCTCTAGTGCGAAATGTTTAGTTGCAGGCTACTGCGGCTGCTGGATTTATCTGTTGAGATATTCTGAATGTCTATCTACAATGAGCTTGATCAGAGGTTTTTCTACATCAGCCCCGGCTTGCAATTTATCCCTCGTAACAGTAATCTGTTCATTGGGTGCAACAACAATGACTTCCTCTTTGCGGGTTAAGAGCTCATTAGCTACAACCATATGCATTCCATACTTTTTCAGAGCCAATTCAGCCTTCTCCAAGAGGATATCTTTATCAGTTTCCAGCTGTCAATTAAGAAATGAGAGGTCAGCAGATTAAATATTCCTGGATTTTTGTTGAGTTACAGTTTGTGCATAATAGCATGAGTACATAAAGACCCAGTCATGCTGAGATGGAAGGCATCAGACAAAAGGACCTTTTCCATTGCACAAAGTAGATAATATAATACTACGTATGATTCTCTTGAATACGAATCTTAAAATCTTCAACACATTGTTGGAGTATATTCATTAAAGCAAAAAGTACTAAATTAATGTATAAGATTCACTTTTCTTTTTAAGTATATTCATCAGTTTTATTGGTATGAAACTGGATCTATCTGTTGAGATATTCATAGTTAAAAGCGCAGTTATCTTCAAGAATTCATTTGAATGTCTTCCCGATTGAATTTTTAGCTGAAATTTGGTATGAGTAAACTAGACATAATCAATAAGATGCTCAAAAAATTTAATCAAAAAATTCCAACGGGAACCACCCCAAATGGCGACGGCCGGACAGAACCTCTTATATAAGGACTTATTTGATTTTTTTATGTAAGTTCGAGGACCTGTCCGACCCTTTTCCCATTAAACTTTTAGGATAGAAACCCAAGTTATCATGGAATTGGAGTAGCCCGACACGGATTGGTTGGTCCCGTGGCCAAAGGCCGGGGTGCTTAGTATCCCATAATGAATAAATACAAAAATAACAAACCAACATATAAGCTTAGGACCACTCCTCATTATACAAGTCCTACCAATTGCATATCGGTGTTCTTTGACTGAACTACACTAAACAGGATATATTATGAATCCTAGCTTCTTATCGGTTAGTAGATACTACTGAAAACCCAATTTCAATGATAGGTTTGACCATTAGCTATGGCTCACGGGGTAAACATTATGTTTATATAATGTAAATTGCGCCAAAAACTGTGCGGTAAAACCAGTTCGGAAAATAAAACCAGTTCTGCAGTGTTATGTGACTTCTGAGATAGTGAAATTCCACGGAAAGGGCAGCCATTGAAGAACTGACCTTAAATGATATGCAGAAAGCCAAAGGTGCCCATTCACTTCTGAGCAATGAGAGCATCTTTGGTACCT